GTTCGATAGCAAATTCCCACTAGGGAGTTAAGTTTGTTACCGAACAAAGGTTACCCAACCGTTCACGAGCACAAACTACTAGAGGGTTGTTATATATTCCTTCGCTCAATAGCATAAATTCATGAGGGAAAGAAAAGATGTGTTACCAAGTTGAGGATTATCTAGCAATTCATTAGTGAAATCTTCGAAGATACAAGACTTCCAGTGTTCCAATTCGCACTCTTCGCATTCGAACACTGGGGGGGGTGTATGGTATGAGGATATGACAACAACGACTCCCACATCAACTGGGGAACGAAAATCCAAAAACTAAACGCATCATCGGGACCTGGGACTGCGCAGCCAGCCCCGTAGAAACAAGTTGTACAAGATAGCCACAAGTAATGGTATTTATTTTCAGCACAACAAATGCTTATGTATTATTTTTTGAAAATAGAAGGAATAAAATGAAATACTTTTGTTTTTATCTTGTTTCTTGCATGGACGATGAATAAACTTTGTCATTTGAAAGTTAAATAAGTACTTTAAATGTTAATGCCATAATGAACAAGAGACGTCCTCTTCAAGAGCCCCGTAAACATAAGAGGGCCCTATCTTATAAAAACCCTCACGTTAAAGGGTTGGTTCCAAAAGAATCTATGCCCGAAATAAAAAAATGCCTTCGGGAAAAAATACACCCGAAGCCACATATGAAAAGGACGCAAAAAGTAAACTTGCGCAAATACTTATAGAACCCCTAACTAAAAAGGGATAATGTTCAGAACCAAAGTGCTTCGATGTAAACACATTCGAGACTACACAAAGTAAAGCGCGAACAGAAAAACGTGCACAGAACTCTCGAGCAAATACAAATACTAAAGACTTGCATGGATATTCAAACGAAAATAAGACTCAAACGATACTTAAAACAAAAATATGACTTTATTTACAAGAACGTGCCACAACGGTAAAAGTTCAAAATAGGAAAAGAAAAGAAAAGCTAAACTGCAATGCCTCCGGATCTAGGAGGAAGAGAAGTGTCCCTATTCCAGGGAGAAGTAGGTGGGTCCACAGATGGCCCGACGTTTTCCCCAGTTTGATCTTCAGCATCGTCACCTTCCGATCCCTCTTCAGTTTTTGAAAACTTTGAACCGGAACCAGCAAAGTCAGGGGTATCAAACTGCGCCGGGAGTCGATTTTTAGCACCTAACTCAAGCTCTCAGGCCTTAGCAATTTCGGCATCAAAGTCGATGATACCAGCTTTGGTCTCTTCCAAGGTTTTTCTCCTCATTATGTACATGGCATAAGTTTTTTCAACAACGAGGGAAGCTGCTCGGTGCTTAAGTTCTTCTTTGAGTTGAGTAACCTCGGCAGAAAGGCTTTCCCGAATGAACCTAGCAGATTTAGGCTGACGTCAAGGTCGCGGACAGTTGAACTAAAGAGCGTATTATGCTCGATAGTTTTCTTATACTTCTCTTCTAACTGGGCGTGTTTCGCCCCCCACTGTATCAAGCTCTTCAAGTTTGGAGTTCAGGGATGCTTCTAAGTCAGTCACTTTTTCGATAGTAGCAGCTTCGCGCTCGGTTGTAGCAAGAGCGACGTCCTGGACTTCAGCCCATTTGGCCTTAGCTTCATTAAAAATAACCCTCAACGGGCCAATTTCTTGGCTAAGGATTACCACTTCTTGCTCGCTTTGCTGCAAATGATCCTCCAAAACAACGCCCTCAGTAGCTTTGTTTTCCAGTTCCAAGAGGCGAAGAATAATTTGGTCTTGTTCCACTAAAAGCTGATTCCGTTCAGAAGTAAGATCTTCCTTCTCACGAATCAACATTTGAAGGCCCTCAGAAGGAAGAAAAGAACGTACCGTTGCGACGAGAGTGCCTGAGTCTTTTCCCAGTCTTTTTCTAAAGCCAAAGGCTTCAGATAATTAGCAAGCTCCACCGGCCAGGATAGCAAGTTGCATCCGGTAAAGATATAAAGAATAACGTTCCTCCTCCTTTGTGGATCTTCAGAAGGGGCGGCATAATTTTGCCCCAAATTTCCATGAACTGGGGATTGTGGAAGAGGAATACCTTCTTCATGGTCATATGCGGCCGATGGAGGTGATGTCGCAATTGTTGGTGGAATAGTGGATGAAGATTGAAGTGATGCAGCAGTTGTTGGTGTTGGTGAAGGTGAAGATGAAGCTTATGGAGTTGAAGAGTGAGAAACATTTGCATCAAGTACACTAATGGTTGTTGGATGCTCGCCAACCAAAGACGGCAAGGACCCGGTACTCAGCCCTGCATCACTGGTTACAGTAATTAGGGACCGAAAACGGGAGTTGGCATTTTCTACCAAATCAGATTCTCTCCAAAGTGTCGAGATATCGTCTTCAGTTGGTGTAACTATCTCAACAGGTCTAGCATCCTGTTGAGATGATGAGGATCGTCGCCTTTTATGTAGAGAAACTCCCTCATCACTAGCTTCTTCTTCATCATCAATCATCACGATGTCTATGACCGGCCCAGAAGGAGGACCAGTCGTCATCACCATCGGAGATGACTCGGGGGCATCAGTCTTTGCCCTCTTATTCTTTTCCCCGGCCGCGGAGGAACGTCTTCTCTTTGGTTGCTTATCCTCCAGCCAGGGACTTTGTAAAGAAGTATTTGTGCCCGAAACAGGCCCGGAGATGCCTGTTCAAGTAAGTGCTTCCTGAAGCAGCCTCACTGCATTAGCAGGATCAGCCAAAACGTCCTCCTCGCAACAGAGCCAGCAGGTAGACCTAATTTCGTGAACAAGTGAAAAGGGGTCAACCAAATTCTCCATATACAAAAAACAATGGAAGCAAGGTAAATTAAAATTACCATGATTTTGGGCCTTCCACCCGTATTTGAGGGCCAGTTCTTTCCACAAATGAGTTTTGGGCGTCGTGATTTCCAAGATTTTTTGAACCTACCGGTCCAAACCTTCCACCACCGGTGGGATCCATCGAGTTGCTGAAACATGCGAAGGGTGAATAATTGATACGGCCATAAAGTAATATCTAGTAAAATGTATACTAAACAAAGAGCTTACGAGTACGGTTCCAAGCGACCGAAAATGATGAAGTCGTTGTCAGAATGATGTCATTGGTGGCGACTGTAACAAACCGTTCTATCCATCCACAGTCGTTGTCATCATCCATGCTAGACAACAAAGCATGGTGGCCACGCTTGCAGAGATTTATCATTCCCCCGTGAAAGATTTTGGGAGAATAAAGATTCATCATATGAGCTAAGATTAGCTCTTCTCAAGTCTCCTGGCACAAACATCGAAGACATGCGACCGTCCTCCACACTGAAGGACTTACTTGTGCCAAACACACTTGGTAGCGAAGGAAAAACTCCGCAATCACGGAATCAAGCTCTCCGCTCAAAGAAAACGCACCCAAAGTAAATGGATACGTGTAAAAGTATGTAAAACCTTCCTTGGGAAGGGTCACTCGCTCCGATAGATCAGGAGCTATGATATCCAACTCATGGCAGCGACAGTCTTCCTACACAACAAGAATACTGGAAGGACGAATGGAAGAAGGGTACCTGCTAACAACCCATTTACGAGGGTTAGCAGTAGGAAATATTTCTTCAAGGTCCTTTGTGATACTGAGTATTCTTGGGATGATGGAACCCACCATTGGAGGAAGAAAGTCCTCGGCTTTGTTCTTGTTCATTGAAGAACCAGCACGCTTGGAGGAAGAAGCCATTGAAAAAGAAAAAGGAAAAGGTTTTGTGTTTGAAGAGAATTGGAGAAAGGATGGAAAACAAATATGCAAATCGGAAGCTCGAGAAATTATGAAACGCAAAGGAAAAGAATGTTGCGTATAAGTAAAATTTTGGCGGCTAAATTCATGGTCATGATTACCTCGATAATCAACAAAAGCTATGCTGAATCATGGGGTGATGCATGTTCGGGGCATTAAATGCGGAGAGACGTGCATCTAATCAATTGACAGGAACCTTCAGAGGGAGTTATAGTAATTCCCGCCAAAAAGGTATTTCTATCAACTTCCCGGTAACACAAAGTTATGTCACCGTAAAGCAGGGGGACTATCTGTATAGGCTGAAATATGATATGACACGTGGTCGTCTAAAGAGACACGTGGAACCCAAGTCGGGGATGGACGAAGAAACGCGGTCATTCCGATTGTCACCGGAAAGGATAACGTTCATAAAGGTGTGTTAAATGCTCTGCGCCCGGTAGCATTTAATAGGAAATATTCTGCAGCATTAAGAACGAAGGTCCGTTACGGAGAATTTGGCATTTATGCTCACCGTTACGTCTTCATCAATGACCCTCATAATTGACATTAAAGGAGGGCACGATCCTAGGATCTTCTTCCCTAGACATAGCTATAAATAGTGAGCTTAGTTATCATTGTAAAAGACACGATTTTTCTGGCTAAAAATATACTACATTCTATACAAAACTTAATATAATCTTACTTTCTTGCTTTTTGATCTCATCATTACTGTGCCCGGAAAACCTTGTTCTCGANTTTGTTAATCGTAGATATGGCGTGGGATAATCACTTTTTAATATGGTATTTAGTTTTTATCCAGTATTTTTAATGCTGAGCAAAAATAGCCACTACTCTATTAAAATTAATACGAAAAGATATTTTTACCCTTTCTTCATGAGTGTTGTGTAAATATTAAGGACATGGTGCCCTTAACATTTACACTGCACACATGAAGTTAAGGACGCCATGTCCTTAACAGTTACACTGCACATATGAAGTTAAGAACATGATGTTCTAAAATTTAACAACGGAAGGTGCAAATATAGAACACTTTGTCCTTAATATTTATACATCATTCATGAAATTAATAACATCATATCCTTAATATTTACACATCACCCATGCCTAGCACATGAGTATTTCGTTCGGGCAGATAAAAATTTATTAAGTAGTGGCTAAAGAATAAATATATTTTAAATAGTGACTAAAGATTAAACACATCTCTAATAAGTGGTTAACTGTGCACTTCCTCTTCTTAATCAGTAAGTAGACCGGACTCCGGCGTGACCTTTTCCTTTTCGGGTCGGGTGTAAGGTTATTGGGCCGTGATGTTCGCGAAGGGCCTCGGCATCCATTATCACTAGTACATACCAGAGAGTTGAGCAGAGAGAGAGAAAAGGAAAGAGAACGGATGACGACGATTCGTAGATTTAGCTGCAATGACCTTCTCCGCTTCGCCTCAGTCAATCTAGATCATCTTACTGAAACTGTAAATCACTTAGCTCTCTTTTCTCCTGTTTATTTTTTTGCTAAATTTCGTGTTCTTATTCTGAGCGAAAACTGCATGATTTTTAGTGTTTTCTGGATTTGAAGCGAGTTTTAAGGTAATTTTTGTGGACTTTTGGATTTTGAAACTAGTTTTTACATGAAATTTCGTGTCTTTTAGAATTGTACTAAAACGAGGTTTAACATGATTTATAGTACCTTGCCATATTTGAACGAGCTTTAACATGCTTTTGGTTCTTTTTTCAGATTTTGAAACGAGCTTTAACATAATTATAAGTACCTTATAAAATTTGAATGAGTTTTAACATGATTTTTAGTGCTTTTGTTAGAATTTGAAACGAGTTTTTAACTTGTGATGTAGTTCAACATGTCATTTTACATGACATACATGGCAAGATGGCCGGACTATTTCCACGTCGCAGAAGCTCCTGGTGGCAGAATCATGGGATACAGTGAGTCCTTCTACTGTAGATTTTGAAATAAATAGCTTTTTAAGGATGATTTTAAGTTGGCGAATGATGCTTATTTAATTTACAGAGATTGGGTAAATTAGATACTATCAAATGCGTGCTGGATGCGTTGAAATAATTCTTTAGTGGTAGGTAGGCGTCACGTTAGTAGGAGAGTAGATTCTTTTAGGAATATAGAAAATGTTTGAAGATCAAGACAAGAGTTGCAAGAATGAGAAGTAATATACCCAAAGAGAGTGTTGGCGTAACTGGTAAAGTTGCTGCCATGTTACCAGTAGGTCACGGGTTCGAGCCGTGGAAATAAACTCTTGTAAAAATACAGTGTTAGGCTGCGTACAATAGACTCTTGTGGAGTTGTTGTTCGGCCCTTCCCCTGACCCCGCGCATAGCGGGAGCTAGTGCACCAGGCTGCCCTTTATACCCTAAGCTCTCATTTATAGGTCATGATTTCACAAGCCCGATGGTGTGGTTTATCGGTTAATGACATAGGTGAAAACCATGGGAGAGCAAAGTTCAAATCCCAATAGAGGCAAGGGACTTAAGTAATTTTTATCGATTTGTCTAGTCCCTGGTGGGAAAGGGATCTTTGGAGCAGCGGTAAAGTTGTCTTCGTGTGACATGTAGGTCACGGGTTCGAGACTTGAAATCATCCTTATCCTTGCATTAGGGTAGGCGTCCTACAACACAGAACCTCGGGGTGCGGCTCTTCCCCCTTCCTGCATGGATGTGAGATGCTTTATGCATAGGGATATCCTTATTCTAGGCCTTGGTGAGCAAAATTATCCGGTATCTATGTTGGTGGGAAGTAATAGGTACCCCGTGCAATAAGTAAGGTGTGTGCAAGCTAACCTAATCACTGCCGTTGTCAAGGAAAGAGCAAAATAGTTCATGATTAGACAATGAAATTCAATCCTTATTTATTTATTGAGAATCGTTCTACTTCAATGATGACTTAAGTGCTATCTTAACTCATCTTTTAGATGGTTCTATAAGATTCTGGTGCATTTAAATTTGCATAACTTTTCTTTTCAATATTTGAATTTTATTGCGTGTAATTATGAAAGCTTGTCATTTAGATCAGAGTAGATGATGGTGTCTACCATATTCTCCGGTCCTTAAGTTGTTAGTTGCCTTGTACTTGACTGATTATTATATGTCATCTTAGGTCTTCCCAAGATGGTGACATTCAGAAAGTAACAAGGGTTAGATTAGCAAGCTTCCTCTTCGTTAATGCTATATCATTCTAAAATTAGTAGTAAGGAGTACTGATCTGAGCATTGGCTGCTCGGATCAGAAAGTACATTATTTGTGCAGCTTTAGGTGGATTTTATAATTGTAGCCCCATAGACACAACATTATTTTGCTTTTCCTCACAAAATCCTTGGGTTAATATAGATGCAAGTAGCCATTCTCTTGGACTTCATTTGGTGAAAAGGATTCATTTACAATAGGTACCCTTTAAAAAAAAGGGTTTCATTTACAAGTTGTTACTGATGTCTTTAAAATATTATAGACAGAAACATTTGTGACAGAGCAGCTAGAGTGTCGATTATGTGGTTTGGTCTTAGTTTGGCTACTGTCTGATACATTCTGGTTCTTGTAGACTAGAAAAAGAGTCCAGAGGTGGATCCAGGATTTAAACTCTATGGGTTCAACCTTTAAGATTTTAGCATTTAACCTATTATACTTTTAAAGTTATGGGTTCATATCTACTATTTGCTGCAATTTTAGTTGATTTTTACTTATAAATTCATACTTTGCGCCGAAAGTTATAGGTTCAATTGAACCCGGTTCTGTTGTATTGGATCCGCCCCTGCAAGTCTGTCATCTGTGTTTCCTAAAATTACTCACAAGGAACATTTGTTTCTTTAACTAATGTCTAGTTTTTTTTTTTTGGATAATGATTAGCTAATGTCTATTTTTTTATAAGGTAACTAATGTCTAGTTTATACGTGCAGTTATGGGAAAAGTTGAAGGGCAAGGTGAATCTTGGCATGGCCATGTCACTGCAGTAACTGTGGCTCCTGAATATCGGAGGCAGCAATTAGCCAAGAAATTGATGAACCTGCTGGAAGATGTCAGTGATAAGATGTAAGCAACTATACTGTGGGAAAATTTTTTGTTGCTAGATCCTATTACTGAGAGATTAATGCCTGTGATAACTAGAATCCCGGAAAGAAAAGCAAATTCAGAATGCCACTCAGGTTTAGATTAGAGGGAGTGTGTCCATACATAGCAAAATTGTAGTCCTTTCATGAATCCCGGTTGCATTTTCTGAATTCATCTTTTCAACTTTATCATTGTGCCGTTTCACAATTTTCTTTTATGTTTAGATTTCCAGAGTACCATGGAGTTGTATTAATTTTAACCTGGTATGCATAGTCTGTTTACGGTTCATCCTCTTGTCTGTTTTAATCTAGCTTGTGGTTTATCTGTCTAGATTTTCTAAAGAACATGTCAGTCTTTTCTACCTTATGGGTTTACCTCCTTATATATCATTGTAGCTTCAGAATAAATTTTACAGTGTGAGTGTTGCTCTTATACATGACTACATGTTTAGTTGATTGAATGAATACATAGTAACAGTGTACACTTGTGCAAGTAATGCAAGGTTTTGGGCCTTAAATGCAAGCTATGCGTGTCCTTTACCTTTTTTTTTGGGAATACAATTGCAATTTTAGCCTTCTGGGTGCATTTAGAGGGTGTTTGGATTGGCTTTTAAGCTCTTTTTAGCTTTTTTCCGTGTTTGGCTATAAGTTGGAGATATCCAACTTATTGCAGCGATACATTGCTCATGGGCTATAAAGAAAGACAATAATTTTGTGCTCTTTCTTAGACTTACGCTAGAGGCTCCAATGGAAATTCAGCTTTTGCTTGTGATGATTTAGTAAAAACATAAATTGCACAAGTTGAAGATAGAGTCATAGAGATATATTATTACTGTAGTTTCTTTCTTTGATGTATTTCGCCTGCTAAAATTTTTTCACCTGCTAGATTTGAAATATAAATTCAAAATTTTCTTTATGTGGTAAAATACAAACTCATATGACACTTATCTCTCATTGTATTTTTTAATTTATTGGCTGTTTTCGGGGAAACTGCATATTTACATACAAGCTTTAGTCAAAATTTTTCCGAAGTTACGGATCCATTTTGCCGACTTCCCTTGCCTACATTGTTCCATCGACCAGAGGCTGTTCACCTTGGAGACCTGATGCGGTTGTTCACCGAAGCTTTAGTCAAATTATGTTATTTAAATAAATCCTTTGTATCTGTTAAAATAAGTTTATCTAATCAATTTATAACTTAAAGAGAATAGAGACTCATATTAATTTGGAGTCTTTGAACTAATCCAAAATTAAAAATACTACAATAATTAGCTTATTTTTAGTTTAACAGTTTTGAAGGTATTTCAATCATTTTTAACAGATAAAACACTTTTTTACTAAATACATCAACTGCTTATTTTCAGTTTCAGCACTTTATCCACCTATTGATAAATTAAGCTCCAACACTTATTTTAAGCTAGATGATGTGGGACCTTCTCTGTATTGCAGTTGGTTGGATACTGGAACCGGCATCCTATTTCCCTGTTTTGTTATTCCAGACATAATTAGGTTGTCAGTTCATGTGATCGCACAAAAGTTGAGTGCGAAGTGAATACAATCAGATCAATTTCGTCTTAGCATAACTTTTGACCTTGTGGAGTTCAGCTTTGCTTTCGTTTTCTAATACATATTGGCTACTTAGGTTCTCCAGTCTTTCCATGATGATGTGAACCTTAATGCGATGAGAGTAGAATGAGATTTGTAACTTGCCCTCGTTTCTGGGTCCTCCTAGTAGTGTTTAATGTTGATTCTTATTCAACTTAATTATAATGAATTCGTCACTCCCTTTGTGTGATGGCATAAAGCTAGTATTCAGGTGAGAACAATAAAGTTTGTGTAAACTTTGCCGATGTTTTGTGGCTACTAGTTGAATTAAGCCTTTTAATCTTGTGAATTTTTGTCCAAGCTTCGCACTAAGGTGAGCATTGTTGTGCAGTGATAAGGCTTACTTTGTGGACCTGTTTGTGAGAGCATCAAATACGCCAGCCATAAAGATGTATGAGAAGGTAGTAACCTTTCCTCAGTACCCTTGTTAGGAATTGTATCAGGGTGAATTTGTATTCTTGTCACTAATCCCTTCAACTGTTTCTTCTTTTCCAGCTCGATTATGTAATATATAGGCGAGTTTTACGTTATTACTCAGGGGAGGAAGATGGTTTGGGTGAGTTGCTGCATTTAGCTATGACATAGTTTCTATTCTGCTGTATGATTTCATTGGTATGACCCTTGTTTCTTCTTTGCTGTTCCAGATATGAGGAAGGCTTTATCGCGAGACATAGAAAAGAAGTCTATCATCCCGCTTAAGCGGCCAGTAACTCCGGATGAATTGGAGTATGACTGAGTCAGTAATAACTGTTACCATGTGTATCTTTCAACAAGCTATGTTCAGGCATCAAGAAGTCCATCTGAAAATGTGTTAAGATCAGGAGTCCGGGCTCTTGTGTCTTTCTGAAAATGGATACATTTTATTTTAGTGCTCTGCCAATGAGTAAAGATATTTTGGGTTAGACATGTTGATCCTTTGATCATTATATTATGTTTAAGAACATGTGCTAGAAATCTGGCCTTGTGTTTTGGCTGCAACCGCCGGAGCATATCGTGTGTGTATTGGTCAAGACGTGTTAGCGAGTAGTTTAAGCAATGAAATGCGTGCCCTTTTGGTAAGATTGATTTGAAATTCTATGAGATCATATGAAGCTCATAACTTGACACTATTTTATACTAGATGGATTTTAACGATTTTTCGAATATTTTGAAAATGGACACGAACCAAATAATGTTAAGGCCATCTCCAACTCCATTTTTGCCTCCAAACTCCGTTTTGGAGTCAAAAATGGAGGAATTTTGCTCCAAATTTGCTCCATTTTGGAGAGTGAATTTGGAGTGACACTATTTATCTACTCCATCACTATTCTCTATTATTTTATTATTATTTTTTATTATTTAACCCTTTTAATTTATCATATTATATATACGTAATTATATTTATGTAATATCTTGATAATATTACTTTTACATTTTAGTTTTGGCGTATAATTTTGATAAATTAATTTTTGTGCATATATTATTTTTATGTAAAATTATAAGTTAATTTTATTACTCTCTCTGTTTCAATTTAGATGAGGTAGTTTGACTCGGCACGGAGTTTAAGAAAAAAAAAAAAACTTTTGAAACTTGTGGTCTTAAAAACTTAAGGGATAAAAGCTTTGTGGGGCCATGACATTTGTGTGATTCTAAAAGTTTCTCATTAAGGGTAAAATGGAAAGTTTAAAGTTGAATTATTTTCAAATTTAGAAATATGTCATTTATTTTGAAACAGACTAAAAAGGAAAGTACCTTATCTAATTTGAAACGGAGGGGTATAAGTTATAATTTCATAAAAATATATATAACCATCAAAAAAATGAAAGGTGCAAATATAAAATACAAGATGTTACTAAAATTGAAAAGTAAAAATTAAAAATACATTAAATTTAGAATTACATTAAAATTAAAAATACATAAAAAATTGAAATTACATTAAATAACATAAAAATTTAGTAGGGACCTAAGTCGTTTTCAGATAGACCAAAATCATTAAACTACATGTAATATATATTGAATTATCTTGTATCTCAATGATTTCACTTTTATTTGAATTATCCATTAATATGTATAAATCTATAATATTTGCATACAAATTATATTATTTAAAAATTTATGATATAAAATAATTTTATTTTAAATGATTATATAAGAAAAAAATATGAATTATATTGGATGGATATGTAAAAAAAGAAAAAAAGAAAAAAAGATAGGATTTGTTTAATGGAAATAAGAAAATAAAATTCAAATAAAAGATAATAAGAATAATATAGAAGAGAGAGGAATATAAAAAAAATATTCTTTTTTGAAGTAAAAAATAAAGTAATGATTGGTGTTAGTTTACTCTATTTTGGAGTAAAGATTTGGAGTGAATGTGGGAGGTGCCCTAATATCTAGGTGCAAAATAATATTGACTGCACTCTACATAAGTCAGTACATAAATCAGCATGCGTAAAGTGGAGTATTGAATAAACTTCCGTCAAAAAATAGTTTTTCTTTCATAAGTATCAAATTTGAAAGTCTCAGAGTTTGTTTTTAAATTCACAACTATTAATCTTTGACTAAATTATAAGTAATAATAATTATAAGATGCAAAAAGACACATCTTCTGACAAACTTTTACTTAATTTTACAATGTTCCAATACTTAAATCAATCGATTTCTTCTTCAAATTGCTGTGAGTCTTACTGACTTTGACCACCTAGCTCTAACCAAGAACTTTAATAATGCAAATTTGTTTATTATGGAATAATTCAATAGTTAAGATGTCACAATTCGAATTACATATAACCTGAAGAGAAAGAAGTTTGACGATACTCCCACCACCATAGACTCAAATTATGCTTTTACACACACATATATATGGGGCAGAGCGGACAATGTAAATAAATATTGCGATAAAGTAATATGGTGGCTTAGCCAACCATAATGCAGAGTAATATAAAGGTAAACTCGAGCAAGAGTAAAATAAATATAAACTTGATTGTTATTTAAACTGAAAAATTGATAATACAAGTTAAAAACTTATATAAATATACTAGAGAGAGAGGGAGATAATTCTTTCTCAAAATGGTAGTGTAACGTATGTGTTTTACAAGTGATAGGGGGTTATTTATAGCCAAAAACTAAAAATTATATAGTGTGTTCTAATGTCATTCATGATGTCATTAGGAGTAAGTGCTAGCTAATGTCAGGGATGATGTCAGTTGTGATGTCAGTGTGATGTCACGCTGATATAATTTCTGATTAATTTTCTCAGAACATTAATCATAAACTGATGATGATTATTTCTGATGATGATGATTTTTCAGACGAAGATACTTACTTTTGTTGACCTAAAATTTGTATCTTGAGGGAATCAAGAATTTTCTCCATTTGATCAAGCCTACTGGTGGAACCGACTAGTTGTGCATTTGTAATGGACTTTTGTTGTAAAAATAAAATTTGGGCAACATCTGTTACAACTAGATACCGCGGATGAGATAGAAACCACTTGTCTACTGCTGACACATAGGCTTCGGATGAATCCCATTTTTGTACCATTTGCAATGGCCTTGGAGGGCTAACCACGGTAGTCCTTTATGACCTTCTGGCTTGTGGAAGGAAAACTTCTGGAAGTATATTCATGGGATATAAAATCTGTGGGAAAATTAGAGAAGTATGGGTACCTGTGGCAAAAATAATCATATCCTTCTTTTACTGGTGCGGGGAGGTTTTCAACTTTATGACCATAAGCAGGCCACCACTGATGTATAAATCACCGAGGGAATTCAGAGGTTAATTATTTGCTCCAGAGGATAAACCATGAATGCTTTCCAAGTTGGTTTTAGAAGGTGAAAACATTCATCCACGCTACCTGGTAGTCATAATAATTATAAAATTGTGGATCAAAAGGCTGAGAAATTTTTTTGTATTTGGCTGGATGGGTTCCCCATTCTTTTGGTGAGATTATTTTGTTAATCCACACCGTAGTATGTGTGACATATGATTGTGTCTGCTTTTCTTTGTGGGGTTTAAACAAGCAGGATCTAGTATCTTTGAGAATGAACTCATAGTATTTTTGGGTATGTTTGTGAGTGTTTTGGATGAAATTGGCTGAAGGGATAAGTATTTTCTTAGCTACCTCTTGGGGATCGGAATGCCAGAATTCTGGGTCAATTTGAATGAGTGGGTAGACACTTTTATTCTTAATATAAGTGGGTTCCTCGGAGGAGGAGCCTTTGCTTGAAGAAATAGATTGTGGCACTGGTGAAGAAAGTGCCTGATTGGTTGTAATTTTTGGGATGTTGGATAGACATCCAGTACCTGCAATGGGGCTTTTAGCCTCCAATATTTTTTGTGTGGTGCTTCTAACAACCATAGGAAGTGAAGAGGCCATGTGACGGTGGGCCTCCACGGGGTTGGAAGAAGATGCGTGGTTTTGTACTGCCACATTAGAACAATAATTTTTATACAATTGGTACTGATCGCTCAGTTATTTTTTAAATAGGCCAGGCATGGTCATTTGATCTTTAATTCTCATGAGTTGGCGCCATTGCATGAATTCTTCTTCTGTCCAAGGTGAAGACATGGTCTGTGCTAGTTGAGTTTGAGCTTGTTAAGATTCTTCTTCCTCAACTAGGTCTGCCTATTTTTTGGACTGAAAATTAGAATGGGTCCTGAACTTTCTATTATATGAACTTAGGGGACTCCGCTCATGGTGTAGTCTAATGGCTTTCTGTATTTGGGCTAGCTTGGTCTAATTGCGCCTTTTGAGAGTTGCTTGGAGGCAATTGAAATGGTTAGTTATTTAGAAACAACATCTGTAGCAGTCTGTTTGGGTACTGCTTCAGTAATATTTTCCTATGGCGGAGGAAGAGCAGGTATTGGAGGATCTGAAATTTTTATTTTCTTTTTTCTTGGCATTTTATCTTCCCTGCAAGAATTCTCGGGTAAGAAAATATGGAATAATGTTTGAGCTCCCTTTGATATATTCTATATCAAAATCAAAAATAGATAAAAATAGCTTGTCATCTAGCAAATATATGTTTATAAGAAAGATTTTGTACATCCTTTTGTAAAATAGATTTTGTAGCTTTACAATCAATTCTTAAAAAAAAATTAATTTAATAAATCAACTTAAAATTTATAAATGCACAAAATAATTGCTAATTGTAGGATAATTTTGTTGGAAATTATTCTAATATTTTGATGCAAATGCAATAGTTTGTCCCTTGTCATCTTTTTTCTGCTTTAAAATGCCACCATAACCAATGTCTGATGCATTAGTCTCAACTATTTTGAATGCAGAAGGATCAGGGAGAGATAAGCACGGAAGGTCTTTGACTTTCAATTTGATTTTTTTGATAACGTTGGTGTGGACTGAAGTCCACAGAGGTGGAAGTTGTTTCAACCTATCGTTGAGAGATTTTAGCAAATTGCTAAGGCTTAGAATGAAATCCGATACATAATTAACACATCCTAAAAATATTTGAAGCTGGGGTTTATCTAAAATTTGGTCAGAAAATTTGTCAGCAAATTGTATGGATCTTTGAATAGAGACAATGGTTCCCTGCTGGATATTGTGCCCAAGAAATCGAATGTTGATTTGAAAAAGACTATATTTGATTTTTGATAAAACTAATCCATTTTCTTTGATAACATTAAAGAAAACCTTTAGATGTTTAAAATGTTGATCACTAATCCATTTTCTTTGATAACATTAAAGAAAGCCTTTAGATGTTTAAAATGTTGATCTTTGCTAGTAGAAAAATATTAAAATATCATCAATATAAACAATAATAAATTTTGAAAAAGGATTAAAAATATCATTTATTATCCTTTGAAATTTGGAAGGAGCATTTTTAAACCAAATGGCATTCCATTCAATTCTTATTGTCCAAATAGTACCGTAAAATCAGTTTTATACCTTTCTTTGGGATCTATTTGAATTTGTCAAAATCCTGATTTTAAATCAAATTTTGAAAAGATAGTTGCATCATAAACCCTTTGAAGTAAATCCTTTTTATTTGAAGTAGAGTATCTAATCCAACGAAGTGCTTTGTTCAAAGGTTTATAATTGATGACTAATCGAGGACACCTCGTTCAATTTCAGAGTTTTTATTGACGTAGGCAGCACAACTCTAAGGGGATTTTCTTGGAGATATTATGCGTTTTCAAGAAGATCATCGATTTTCTTTTGACAATGGATGGTTAGCTCGTGATTTATCTGGATAGTACGAGCTTTTGTGGGGATGGTGTTTTCATCAAAGTCAAGTTCGTAAGGGAGCCTAACAATGTGTTTCTTGCGATTCCAAAAGGCTGTGGGTAAATCAGTACAAAGTTCTTCTTAGATTTTGGTTTCTAAAGTTTTATCTTGGATTAGAGATAAGAATCTCGAAGTTGCCGTTGTAAACTTTGGAATACTACTTCTTCTTTGAGAAAATTGATCTGTGCTTCTTTACTTTTTATGGTAGACAAGAACTTTGCCATCAGAGGTCTATCAAAAGGAAGAAAGGTTCTACCTCTTATACGTTCGATTAGAATTCCTTATTTTGTTATCATAAAAGGTATGAGCTCTACGATGAAGGGAGTGCCTAATATAACTAGATTAGTAAGGTATTTTACTAATAGGAAAGAACTTGAGGCTGACAATGGAGAATTTTCTTAGGAGGTTCTAACTTCAACATTGAAGAGTTTAAAGCTAATTCCTAGTTTCCCGTTGTTAGCAGCTCTAAGACCTTCTTTAGTTTTTTCAAAGAATGTGGTTGGAATGAGCCCTTCTTGTATGCCATTGAGATTTGCACCTCTATCAAATAAGGCAATGATATCCAAGGTAAAAGACTTATTGGCAATTAGGATGACTCTCATATACCATTTTCTTATGAAAATTCTGGAGAGGTAGTTGATAAAAACTTCTTGTTCAACTGGTTTAGTTTCAGTTAGTTTGGGCTCTTCAGGTTTGGTAGAGAACTGCTGGAGAACAAGACGGTCTAATTCTTGTCTAGCCTTAATTTCTTGAATTTCTTCCTTAAGGAATGCTATCTCACTTTGGAGATCTTGGATAGCTACTATCTTAGGCTTTTGGAAAGGGAATCTACTAAGGATATCAGTAATATTGTAGGTATTGGCAACTTGAGGATGATTGGAAAAGACACTAGAGGAAGATGTAGAAGGCTTATCTATTATTTGTTTGAATTGCTCGAGATAATACTTCTTTTGCTCAGAGTCTTGGAGATTGCTTATTAATTCAAGAAGAAGATCTTGTTCTTTGGAGAGAACGTTAAACGTAGGTTCCTCTTGACTAGACTCAGATGAAGGTGATTTTGTGTCATCATCTTCGAGTTGGTTAAATTGTTGTTCAAGTTCATCATCAGCAACATCAGAAGTGTCACTATCTTCTAATAAAATTTGTTCGATCTCGTAAGAACAAACTCATCTAAATCAAGATTTCTTACTTTGTTATACAACTTGCAGTATTTGGCTATATGACCTGGTTTGTTGTACTTGAAACATTTGCCAGAATTGGGAGTTTGGAAGTTTGTTGGTTTATGTTTACTAAGAAAGGTTTTGGATTTAGAAGGAAACGGTTTGGTCTTCCTAAACTTGGTTACAGAAGACCTATATTTCGTAATCTCCATATCCTTGGTTGTTCGTCTCTTATGAGGCTTTTTACTACAAGGTGGTAAACCAAATTGTTCACAAAACTACCTAGATCTCGGCGAGTTTGTGTTCTATCTTTGGCTAATTGTCTTAATATCTTATCATGTCGACAAATTTTGAGAGCGACATGTTGAATGAGACTGGTAAGTTGGCCATATGTGATTTGTTCGTAAGGAATAACATCACCAGAATGCTGATTTTGGAGTTCTTCTCTAACTAAATCCTGAAGAAACTTAGGTAGGCAATCTAGGAATTTTTCTTTCCAATATGGGAGATTTCCATAAGGTTTTTCGTATTTTCAGGTTATACCATCTGAAATCAGAAAGGGTTTTACACTTAAGGTTGTTAAGTATCTCAGAAGATCTTTCCCTAAAGATACCTGGACCACCTATGAATATTTTGATAATGGTATAAATCAGGGTGTTGGTTGAATCAGGAATGGTAAGGCCATCCTTAAGAATTGGTTCTCCCATTGACTCAACTCGGACACTTAAGAGAATTTGGTTCTTATCTTCTTCGCTAAGATGGGTATCCCACCATCCCTTAAGTTGACCTGTGAAACCTGCTACTAAGACATGGGTAGTAAGCTTGTCAGAACAACTATGAGAAGTTCGGTATGCAGTGGTTACCATAGTCATTTGTTGTAATTTGGCCAAAATATTATATTCAGGACAACTATCTATGTTCCATTCATAGATATTATTGGCATTATAATTGTTTTACATAATACTGAGTTTTTCTTTTAAGGCTACATCAGGATGGGTAGCTCTAGAATAGTATAGTCTTTTGGGGGTTGATGTCAGTTAAAAGTTCCTGTTCTAACAGGGGAAATTTCGAGGGGAGGATTGTCATGAAATTGTTCTGACTGTGAATTGGTTTCTTGGTCAGAATCTACTTCTCGGTGAACCTGTATAGAAGAATCGTTTGTTGGGGTATCCTGAGCTATCAGGGTTTTCTCAATTTCTAGGATCCTACGCTGAAGGTCACATAACTGAGGATAGTCTTTAGCTTGGTGGATCTGAAATTCCGTAGCGAAAGTTCTAGGGATCTCATAAGGTTTAAATAAAGGGATTGAAGAAATAAAGGTTTCTCATAATATATATATATATATACCAAGTTAGTACTCCTTATACTACATACGTATTGTGGTACTTTACCTCTATTGATTTGAAATCTATGACCAACATTTGATTATCACGAATTCAAATTCTAATGAGGTTCTAGCCACCAAAGCTTAATATTGTATTAGTGGAAAAAAGGTATGACACGTTGACTATCAACAAGGTGACAGGGCATGGTACGTGGACCATCGATAAAGCGACAAGTGGAATTCTTAATTAGAAGAGTTAAAGAATGCGAAAAAGGCATGGGTGAAACACCCACGGGGTTATACTGAGAAAATAGCTGGATCTGACAGCTGTAAAAGGAGAAACAAAAGCGGAATAAATAAAGGTTCTTAAGAAGGAATGATGCACGAACCCGTCATAAATAAGGAAGAAAAATCCATACGGGTACATGAAATCTTTAGCCATAATTATTTCTGTTATAGATGTATATGGTAACAGGCAATCAAGACAATTAATCCTATTAGTGAGTCCGAATTAAATAAGGGAACCGTTATAATTGTATGACCCTATATATGGACTGAGACCTCATTTTTAACATCAACGGATAATTATTGAAATTTATATAATCATTCTTTACTTTATTCTCAAAGTTCTAAACCGTAATTTTAGGAGTGATTACCAATCTATTTCATATTTTATTTGTCACTTATTTTCATTCCTTGATTTATTATTCAAATTGTTGGAAAAGTGAAGTAAATCTTGGTTGTCAGTAACCCGGTTTCTTCTAGATATTGACTTTGACCAAGAAATCTATTTTTGGGTTAAACAAATTGGTTCTGTTATCGGGAATCTAATAATCTGTTCACTTTCCAAACTCCATTTTTAACAACCAAGTATGTCAACCGTTAACGAGAACAACTAGCTGAAGCAACAAGGTGGAACTCCACTACACCACACACATATGGGAGCCCCTCAGCAATCCCGTGGAAGTTCACCTAAAAGGTCTGCTTCGCGCGCTGATGATCAGCAGGGAGACGACCAAACCGTGGAGCAAGATTCTCTAAAGCAATTGATTGCAGAACATGTGAACAGTGCACTCCTGGCTTTTTTCAGAGGATTACCCAATGTTGCACAAACTACTCCACCAGTTAATACAACAACTTTGGAGAACCCGCGTTCATCTTGATAATTATGGAAGTGGAGAAATTCCTAATGAATCTCGTGATGGAGGGTCAGGTACATCAAATAATTCTAATTTACAAAGTTTAGAGCTAACTTTGCAGAAATAATTAAAGGAGCAAAACGATCGTATAGAGCAAATACATGGCGTGCCTCCCGTGATCAAAGGTGTGGATATTGACAAGTATTCAAAACAACCCTGGAAGCCAAGTGCGACACCTTTACTAATTCTCAAAAAGATTAAAATGCCTGATATTCCCAAATATGATGGAACAACTGACCCTCGAGAACACGTAATTGTGTTCACTACCGGTGTGAAAGGCAATGATTTAACCAAGCAGGAAATCGAATTAGTTTTGGTTAAAAAGTTTGGTGAAACACTCACAAAAGGAGAGTTAATGTGGTATTTTCAATTATCTGAAAATTCTATTGATTCTTTTGTAGATCTTGCAGATTCATTTATAAAAGCACATTCAAGAGCTCAAAAAGTTGAAAAAAGGATGGAAGACATCTTTAAGGTTAAACAAGGGAGTACAAAATTGCTCAGGGAATTCGTAGATAGATTCCAGCGGGAGAGGATGATGTTGCCTCGAGTACCTGATAACTCTGCGGCTATGGCATTCGCGAGCAACTTGAACGAGAAAAGTTTAGAAGCCACGGGGAGGTTAAAAGAAAGTTTGCGAGAATTTCCTGAAACAACTTGGAATGACGTGTACAATAGGTACAGTACGAAGCTGCGGATAGAAGAAGATACGGTCGCACAACCAAGGGCTGATGAAAAGCCAGGTTCGAGACGTTCAGAATCAGAAAGGAGGTCAGGTAAAAACAGGTACGAGCCATACATGGGACATGCATGGCGAGACTCTCGATCTAAACAGGAGAATGCACTATTTGATTCAAGATCAAGGTGAAAAGATGTGAGTTCTTTATCCAGGTTCAAAAAGGAGCGGGATGCCCGAAACAATGATTACAGTACACAAGTAAGGATAGGGGATTACAGCTTTAACATCAGCACCTCTGAATTAGTGGTTGTTTTAAGAGGTATGGGGGATAAGGTGCGATGGCCAAAAGAAATGAGATCAGATACGAACAAAAGAAATCCAGATTTCTGGTGTGAGTTTCATAATGATCATGGCCATAGAATAACAGATTATAGGTGTTTGCAAGGAGAGGTCGAACATTTATTGAAGCAGGGCTATCTTACTGATCTATTCAGTGAGAAAGGGAGACAATCATACATGAAGAACAGACAGGAACCCCCAAAACCTCCATCAACAAAAAGAACAGTCAACATTATAACTGGAGGAGATAAGGTCAATGATGTAACATATACAGCAGTGAAAAAGACATCAAAAGTCACTGCCACTCACGGAAAGCGAGTTCACCAAGTCTTGGATGGCGACAGTATAACAACGATGCACTGGTAATATCTTTACTTGTACATGATACTAATGTAAAACGAGTTTTGATTGATCCAGGTAGCTCAGTGAATATCATTTTACTGAGGGTGGTAAATGAAATGCAAGCTAATGATAAGGTCATACCAAAAATACGGTCCTTGTTTGAGTTTGATAATTCAAGCGTTGTTACGAAAGGGGAAGTTGTTCCTACCACATTTGCAGAAGGGGTCATCAAGGATACAAAGTTCCAGGTGATAGACGCGGACATGACCTATAACATAATTCTAGGAAGACCATGGATTCATGATATGGACGTTGTCCCATCCACATTACATCAAGTTATCAAATTTTCTTCACAGTGGGGAATCCGTCGAATCCGCAGAGATCAACAAGCTTCATGAAGTATCAACTCAGTGGTGATTGAAAGCACATAAGCTAATGATGCAGATGCGAAATAGCAATTATAGAATTCAGTTGAGGACATTGCTGTTAAAACCTCAACTGAAGACACACAAGGACAGATTGATGTCGACTCGAGACCCGATGTGATTTAAGAGCCAGAGTAAAATGAGAACATTAAAACAACTACCGAGGAACTCGAAGCTATAATATTATTTGTCCACTATCCAGACAGAAAAGTTTACATCATAGCAAATTTGAGCCCAAAAATAAAAGGTAAGTTATTTGAATTTTTACATGCTAACACGGATTGCTTTACTTGGTCACACTCAGATATGATAAGTATACCACCGGAGGTGATGAATCATAAGCTAAATGAGGATCCATTACACCCACCTGTCAAGCAGAAGAAAGGAAGCAAGGGTCCTTCAAAAATCAAGTGATCCAGGATGAGGTACAAAAGCTTTTGAAAATTGATTCAATACGAGAGGTAAAGTACCATGACTGGTTAGCTAATACCGTTGTGGTTCCAAAAAAGAATAGAAAATGGCGAATTTGCGTAGATAATACTGATTTAAATAAGGCTTGTCCTAAAGATTCATTTTCTTTACCGCATATAGATCAGCTAATTGATTCTACTACAGGTCATAAACTTTTAAGTTTTTTAGATGCATATTCAGGATATAACTAAATAAAAATGGACCCTCTAGATGAAGAAAAAATTTCGTTTATCATAGACAGGAGGACTTATCATTACAAAGTCATGCCAATTGGCTTAAAAATGCTGGAGCCACATATCAAAGATTGATGACTAAAATATTTCAAGAACACCTGGGAAAAACCATGAAAATATGCATAGACGATATGTTGGTCAAGTCAACACATGCGGGGGATCATTTTCAACACTTATCAGACACCTTTGGGATTCTACACTTATCAGGCACCTTTGAGATTCTCCGCAAGTACAATAAAAAGTTAAACCCGAAAAAATATGCTTTTGGCGTGGCTTCGATTAAGTTTTTAAGTTTTCTTGTTTCTAATAGAGGTATCGAAGTGAATCGCGCACAAATCAAAGCTATTGAGTACATACCAAATATACTCACGAGCAAGAAAGAATTGCAGAGATTAACAGGCAGGATAGCAACTCTGGAAAGATTTATATGAAAGTCATCAGAAAAAAGTTTTAAAAGCAAAATCAGTTTGAATGGATTGACGAGTGCCTGTGAACAACTAATTTTTGACCACATCCAAATTCTATACTATTTTAGTGTAAATATTTTTTTTTAGGTCTGATATTTTAAGCTTTTATTTTACTTTTTATGGGTTGTTTTTAAAAATTACAAAAACAAAATAAAAACAATTCACATACTTATAGTAAAATTTTATTTCTATTTGTAAAGAGAAAAAAGAAAATTTACAAACAATATTTGGTTTTTTTTAATTAGAATTTTATTAAGTAAGCTATAGAATCTTTCTTAGTATCATTTAAAGTACATGTAAATATTTAGTTTTCGTATATTGTAAGAAATATTGGTTAATCTTCTTATCTTTATAATTTAATTTATCTTTAAAAATAATAAAGAAAAAAAAAGCAACTATCCCCATCCCACACTTGATAGGAAGATGTGGAGGTCGAGTATTAGGGTTGTAGGTTAGGAGGTAGTTGAGTCGTGCCTTATTTCATACCATTGTGGGACTAGCCATGTAGAATTTTTGTCTAATATAGCTAGTGGCAATGTTGTGTCTTACTATTTCGCTTTTCAGTGCAGGTCCTATTTACTAGCTATCGCTTTTGCTTTGCATCTTTCTTCTAGATTTCATGGTGTTCCTATTTTTCTTATGATTGTTGTGATGATACTAATATTGTCTCTCTTTGCTTTGCATCTTTTTTCTGGATTTCATGGTGTTCCTATTTTTCCTTTGATTGCTATTGTGATACTAATATTGTCTCTTTTTTGTCCTTTTGTCTTTTTATTTTTTTTAGCCGAGGGTCTTTCAGAAACAGTCTCTCTACTCCTTCGGGGTAGGGGTAAGGTCTGCGTACACACTATCCTCCCCAGACCCTATTAGTGAAATTTTACTGGGTTGTTGTTGTTGTTATCTCAATCCCATAATCCTCATTTTTAGCCTAAAACTCCCCACCAGCTCACGTCTCTCACCCTCACTTCCCATTTCCCCACTCATCTCACCATTAACCCACACATCTATATATAATACACACAATTCACATAAAGAAGGGGGGAGGGGGCACAATATTTTGAAAGAGAGAAGTTTGAACCAATCTGAAAACGAAAAAGGCAGTAACTAAGTAAAGACTCAAAAGAACTATTTGTTTGAGTTTTGAAGTTTCGTTTGTTGTTCGGGGTTCGTATAGTACGTGTTCTGCAGGTATTCACAAGGAATTTAAGGTTCGTCTATGTTTTTAAGTCCTACTTTGATATTTTTAAATAAAGCTTGATATTGGTTCTCTTAAGTTATACTTGAATTGTCAATATGTGGATATCGTGCCTTTGCTCGAGACTTTGGCTACTGTCTTTTGGATATGTAATTATTTTATCTCAGTAAGTTTACTTAGATTGATAGCACATTTTATCACCATATTTTATTCATTTGTGACTTTTTCTTTATGAGATCTCATAATTTCTTGCTAAACAAAGTTGGGAACGTTTGCATTTTTATTCAAATTCCATGAGTAGGATTAACTAAAAATATCATACTGGCATGAATTTTGCATCTCGTGGTTGAAGTTTTAAGGATGTCCAATTATTAAATAATCTAGTATGATTCATTTAGGTCTTTGTCAGGTTATGACCCTTTAAAAGGTTTTTTTTCTTTCTCGTCTATTTTAGGTGTAACTAAAAATTATTTTGACATCACACAACCACAATCTTAAGAGGTCGTCAATTGAACTAAGAATCAAGGATGGTGTTTTAGTTTTCATGAAACTGAGGTATTAAATATTTTTATAAGTTAATTGTCTAGCCTTAGGAATATGTTAATAATTATGAATGTTTTCATTAATGGAAAGAAGCTTGAAGTATGTTCTAGTCTTCGTGTGAGTCAAATCTGATTTTGTTTAGTAAAAAAAAAATCTTTAGAGTTGTTTATGTCTAGAGCATATTGATTGCAAATAACAACAACAACAATAACAACAACATACCCAGTAAAATTTTATTAGTGGGGTTTGGGGAGGGTAGAGTGTACGCAAACTTTATCCCTACCCCGGAAGGGTAGAGAGGCTGTTTCCGGGAGATCCTCGGCTCAACAAAAGAGACAATAATATCAGAAAAGAAACGAAATAAAAGATCTGTAACTACAAAAGAAGCCAGAGAAGTAATAATATCATCTTAAGAGACACCAAATAAGTGGAAGGGAATGCAATAACACAATACTAGACAAAACAACAAAATAGTGTGAACACAACATAGACCGCTAACAGACATAGACAAAAATCTATTAGACTACCCGGTACAAAGAGGGAAAAACTCTCTACTACCCCTAGCCTATAACCCTAATGCTCGACCTCCACACGTTCCTATTCAGAGCCATGTCCTCAGAAATCTGAAGTCGTGCCATGTCCTGCCTGATTACCTCGCCCCAATACTTCTTAGGTCACCATCTACCTCTTTTCGTGCCTGCCAAAGCCAACCATTTGCACCTCCTAACCGGGACATCTATGGTTCTCCTCCCCACATGCCCGAACCATCTAAGCCTCGCTTCCCGCATCTTGTCGACCATGGGAGCAATGCCCACCCTCTCCCGAAAATTTTCATTCCTTATCTTATCCAGTTTAGTAAGCCCACGCATCCATCTCAATATCCTCATTTCGGCTACTTTCATCTTCTGGATATGTAAATTCTTAACTGGCCAACACTCGTCCCCATATAATATAGATGACCTAACCACCGCTCTGTAGAACTTACCTTTGAGTTTCGGTGGCACTTTCTTATCACACAGGACTCCAGACGCTAATCGCCATTTCATCCACCCCACCCTAATACGATGCGTGACATCCCTGTCGATCTCCTCATCTCCCTGGATAATTGACCCTAGGTACTTGAAACTTTCTCTCTTGGGGATGACTTGTGAGTCGAGCCTCACTACCACATCTACTTCCCCCGTCACGCCGCTGAATTTACACTCCATATATTTCGTCTTAGTCCTACTCAACTTGAAACCTTTGGACTCCAGGGCCTGCCTCCAGATCTCCAGTCTCTCATTAACACCGCTACGCGTCTCATTAATCAGAACTATATCATCAGCGAACAATATACACCATGACACTTCCCCTTGAATATGGTGTGTCAGGGCATCCATCGCCAATATAAATAAGAATGGGCTAAGCGCAGATCCTTGGTGTAACCCCATAACCACCGGAAAAAGCTCAGAGTCACCTCCCGCAGTCCTGACCCGAGTCTTAGCTCCATCATACATATTCTTTATCAATCTAATATACGCTACCGGCACCCCTTTCACCTTCAGGCATCTCCAAAGAACGTCCCTAAGGGCCTTGTCATACGCCTTCTCTAGGTCAATAAACACCATGTGAAAATCCCTCTTCCTATCCCTGTACTATTCCACCAACCTGATACGGTGGATAGCTTCCGTAGTAGAACGACCCGGCATGAACCCAAACTGATTTTCAGAAATAGACACCGCCCTCCTCACCCTCCCTTCCACCACCCTCTCCCAAACTTTCATAGTATGACTTAACAACTTGATGCCCCTATGTTGTTACAATTCTGGATATCACCTTTGTTCTTGAACAACGGAATCATCATACTACATTTCCACTCATTTGGCATCCTCGTCGTCCTGAAAATAACATTAAACAACCCAGTCAGCCACTCTAAGCCTGCTCTACCCACATACCTCCAAAATTCTACTGGAATCTCGTTTGGTCCGGTCGCTTTGCCCCGACTCATCTTACACACAGCTCTCACTACCTCCTCAACCTTAATACGCCTACAGTACCCAAAGTCTCGGTGACTTTCGGAATGTCCCAACTCACCTAGCATGATGTTACCGCTCCCCTCTTCATTCAGAAGTTTATTAAAGTATGTCTGTCATCTACGCTTAATATAGGACTCTTTTGTCAATACTCTACCTTCCTCGTCTTTGATGCACCTCACTTGATCCAGGTCACGGGCCTTTCTCTTTCTCTCTCTCTCTCTATCTCTCTATCTCTCTCTCTCTCTTTGGCCAGCCGAATAACTTCTTGTCCCCACCTTTTCCTCCTAGTTCCTCATATAACCGACCAAACACAGCAGTCTTAGCCTCTGTGACCGCTAATTTTGCCTCCTTCCTAGCTTCCTTATACCTTACTCTGTTTGCTCTCCTCTGCTCCTCATCGGTGCTCTCCACTAACATAAGGTACGCCGTTTTCTTTGCTTCTACTTTACCTTGGACCATATCATTGCACCACCAGTCGCCTCGGTGCCCGCCATAGTAGCCGTTCGAGACCCCTAACACCTCTCTCGCCGCCTCCCTTATACAGTCTATCGTCGCCGTCCACATAGTGCTAGAATCCCCACCACTCTTCTAGGCACCCATAGCCATCAGCTTCCCCTCCAACTCATGCGTATTATCCTTAGCCAAAGCACCCCACCTGATCCTCGGTTGACCCCGTACAAACCTCTTCTTCCTCTTTATCACGATACAGACGTCCATCACCAGGAGCCTATGTTGAGTCGCGAGGTTCTCACTCGGGATCACCTTACAATCCTCGCACAACCCCCTATCACACCTCCTGAGGAGGATATAATCAATCTGGGTCTTAGCCATCATACTTCGAAAAGTAACCAAATACTCCTCCCTCTTCGGAAAAGTAGAGTTCGCGATCACCAACTCAAAAGCCCTAGCAAAATCCAAGAGAGAAGTACCTCCTCCGTTCCTATCCCTAAAGCCAAAGCCACTGTGCACCTCACCATAACCTCCAGTAGACGACCCAATATGACCATTGAAATCCCCTCTTATAAATAACTTCTCTGTTGCCGGAATACCCTGCACCACCTCATCCAACCCCTCCCAGAAATGCCTCTTAACCTCCTCGTCCAAGCCCGATTGCGGCGCGTACGCACTAACGACATTCAGAGTGCTCCCTCAAACTACTAACTTAAGCGCCATCAATCTATCATTCACCCGCCTAACCTCAACCACTGACTCCCTGAGCTCTCTATCTAGTTTTTCTACAAAATACCCACTCCGTTCTTGCCCTTCATGCGTCCTGAGTACCACAATTTAAACCCGTCCGCATTCCTTGCCTTCGATCCTACCCACCTGGTCTCCTGAACATAAGCTATATTGACCTTCTTATTCTGGAGAATCTTCGCCAGCTCTATGGACTTACCCGTCANCCTACCACCCGCCCACCCCGAGGACATGACCCTACTCTGCCATTACAAACCACAACTGTTATACCTGCGGTGGTCTAGACAACAATGCAACTACAGACAAGCAAAGGTCTAAACTCGAAGGTAACAAATATCACGAACAACTACAACAACAACTTAAGTAACATAGGCGAAAGATAAATAAGTGACGGGAGGTACTAATTCCCACGAATAGAACCCGGACTTTCGACTTGCTATACTCCCGATGCTGTGGAACCCGACGTCTAGTCCTTGTGACTACAAACCGGCCTGCTCTGTTGCGTTTGCTCGTACACCTCCCACCCATCCCGAAACATCCACCAACAAAGTGCTACCTGAAAAACACACAACACACAACGAAACCAAGAAAAAGAGACGAGTGCGGGACTGCCACCGTCACCATTGGTGACACACAGATCTGATGCTGGCCCGACTCGCCGGACAGGATGTCGCCAAAAAACAGTGACGATCCGTGAAATAGTGGAGCGACGCCGAAAAAAGAAGAAGATAGATGGAAAAATTATTAAGGAGGAAGGGAAGCATAGAGGAGGGGGTTGGGGTTGAAGCCGGAAAAAGAATAAGAGAGACGGAGCGGTGCCGGTGGAGCGACGATCGCCGGCCTAGTTACTGCTAGGGTTAAGAAGGGGGAGAAAGAAAAGGGGGAAGAAAGAGAGAAAGGAGGAGAGAGAGAGAGAGAGAGAGAGGAGAGAGAGAGATAGGGGTGTGCTTACCTGGTTTACCCGACCACGCCGGTGCCTGTGCTGGAGAAATTCGTCGGCGTAGGTTACCATTAGATTTAGACTTATCGAAGAGAGAGAGTACTCGAGAAGAGAGAGAGTCATATCAATGCCTTCAAAATACTAAAATTCTCACTATTTCAGATATAATAATCTAACTAAAAAGAATAATTTTAAGAGCAGAGAGATACTATTATTTATATTAATTTAATCTAGCACTAATAAGCTGGTTTGTTTTATTATTTATCAAATCAATGCCATATTTAAATATTTGTATTAGTCTAGTATATCTTCTACACATAACAAATAATTGTGAGAAAGGAAATGAGCCATGAACTAATTCAAGACTCGTTGCAATAAGTAATAAAATATACAAATAAATGTCTCGAATCTGAAGAGACAAAAATAAATGAAATACTCTAAATATGCTAGAAAGTTTTAGACGCACTTTAAATATTAGCCCATGTGTTCATACCTGAACCTTGGATTGATATGCTTGAATAATAAAAGGATCATGTGCGCATTCCCGCGTCTCGATGCCTTTAAATTTAAAATAATTATGTTTTGACCATGTGTACATTCCGTACCTTGGTTTAACATTCAATTTCAGATAAATACCTTGTGTTCATACCTCATTTAGGTCAAAATAACTAATAAAATACAATAATTAATTAAGTGATAATAGGCAAATTATAATCAATAAAATACAAGAATAGTCAAGAATTGATTTAAGCCGGACATTAGTCAATAGAAGCGACTGTGTCAGAACCACGAGACTCGAGGGGTGCCTTACACCTTCCCCTCGGTTAACAGAATTTCTTACTCAGTCTTCTATTTTCGTAGACCATAAATTAGGAGTCAAACCTTCCATTTGATGAGGTATTCAAATAAAATGTGACTTGTAACACCAAAACTCAATTCCAAGTGGCGACTCTAAATAATAAACAATCCCTTTTCAAAACGTCACTTCAATTGGAAAAACTCTTCTAACTCTACCTCGTAATAGGGTTATGCGGGGGGAAAAGAGGTGTGACAGTGCCGACAAGCTCTCAAGGACCTAAAGGCGTATCTATCATATCCGCCTTTGTTAGCCAACCCAAAAGATAGTGAAAGATTGCTTATTTACCTCATTGTGTCAAAAGTAGCGGTAAGTGCGGTGTTGGTACGAGAAGATAAAGGTAAACAATCCCCAATTTATTATATTAGTAAGTTTTTACTAGATGATGAGACACGATATCCACACCTAGAAAAGCTTGTTTTAGCGTTAATTATGGGATCAAGGAAGTTACGACCTTACTTTCAATGTCATCCTATTTCTGTTATAACGGCTTTCCCCCTCTAAGAAACATGCTGCATAAATAGGAATTATCAGGTAGATTAGCTAAATGGTCAATAGAACTTAGTGAGTATGATATCATATATCAGCCTAGAACTGCAATAAAATCGCAGGTGTTAGCAGATTTTGTAGCGGATTTTAGCACAAATTTAGTTCTTGAAGCAGAGAAGGAACTACAGGTGTTTACCAGAGCTAATCCGGAGACTTGGACCCTATTTACTTACGGTTCCTCAAATGTTAAAGGAGAAGGATTAGGAATTATTTTAATTTTACCCTCAGGTGAAGTCATAAGACAAGCAATAAAAAATTATCCAATCATTAACAATGAGGTAGAGTATGAAGCTGTGATTGCAGGCATGGAACTAGCACAAAAACTTGATATCGAACAAATTGTGATCAACAATGACTCGCAGCTGGTGGTTAATCAAATGCAGGGGACTTATATGGCAAGAGAAACGCGAATGCAGCAACACCTGGAAAAGGTACGAGAATTGCTTATACAATTTTAGACATGGAAAGCCGTACAAATACCCAGGGAGGAAAATGCAAAAGCAGACGCATTGGCGAATCTCGCGTCTATCGCAGATGTAATAATCGCAGATGTAATAATCGCAGAATATGCCATTGTGATACATTTGTTTCATTCAGCACTCGATCAAACCAAGAGTGAGATAAATTTTAATAATTTAACTTGGGATTGGAGAAACGAATTTGTGAACTTTTTACAGCATGGTATCTTGCCTGAAGATAAGAAGAAATCACAATTGCTACGGCTGAAAGCTGCATGATATTGCTTAATTCGTGAAAATTTATATCGTAAAATGTTTGGTGAACCTTTAATACGGTGCCTCGGACCATCACAAACAGAGTATGTAATGAGAGAAGTACATGAGGGGCATTGCGGAAATCACGTCGGGGGAAGATCATTAATGAAAACATTAATAAGGGTAGGATATTATTGGCCAAAAAATGAAAGAAGAAGCAGAAAACTTTGTAGCCATGTGCGATAAATGTCAACTATATGCCAATAACATGCACCAACCGGCAGAGCTGTTGCATTCAGTTATTTCACCATGGCCCTTAATGAAATGGGGCATGGACATCGTAGGGTCGTTGCCTCAAGCTAAACAAAAACCTCAAGCTAAAGGAAAGGTACGGTTTCTGTTAGTTTTAACTGATTATTTCTCAAAATGGGTAGAAATAGGAGCTTTTAAACAGGTGCAAGAAAAAGAAGTTAGGGATTTCATTTGGAGAAATATTATATGCCAATTTGGAGTTCCAAAGGAGATTGTATGTGACAATGGCCCACAATTCATAGGCGCGAAAATCAGAGAATTCTTCCAAAGTTGGAAGATTAAACGAATTACTTCCGCACCTTATCACCCTGCGGCCAACGGACAAGCTGAATCAACAAATAAGGTTATCATCAATAACGTAAAGAAGAGATTGGAAGAATCAAAAGGCAAATGGCCAAAGGTATTACCAGGGGTGTTATGGGCTTACCGAACAACAACAAAAATTAGTACGGGTGAGACTCCATTTTCACTTGTATACGGAGCAGAAGCTTTGATTCCGGTGGAGATAGGTGAACCAAGTACGAGGTACACATATGCCACTGAAGTGGAAAATGAGGAAGAGCTACGGGTAAATTTGGATTTGTTAGAAGAAAGGAGAGAAGCAGCATTAATTTGAATGAAGGCTCAAAAGCAGATGATTGAACGATACTATAATAAGAAAGCCAATTTGAGGTATTTTAAGATTGCGGACTTCATCCTCAAAAAGGTATTTCGGTCAACAAAAGCATCAAATGCAGGAAAATTGAGTCCAAATTGGGAAGGCCCATATAGGGTTCGAGGCATCACTGGAAAATAAGCGTACGAGTTGGAAACCATGGATGGCAAGGTATTACCGTCGAACTGGAACGCAATCCATTTGAAGAACTATTACTTCTAAACGAGGATAATACCCATGGTCAGGTATCACACAAGTTCGATTTTATTTTGTCTTTTAAATTTTACTAACAATTTTAGATGATAGGCAAAAAGTTATCCCGTACCAAATGATGATATTAGACCCAAAAGATACTGAATTATTTTCGGTCTAGGTTACAATATTTTTGATGGGAAAAAGGGTTATGCAGTCATCATCTAAAAAATTATCTCTGAGTCCCATTTGTATTTTCCTTTTCAGGGAAAGGACCAAAAGAAAAGAGTTGATCTAGTGTTCGAGATTTCATACTTCAATGCTCTAACATTGGGGGAATATGCATATAGAAGGTTACACAAGGAAGAAAATATATACCAAGGGCATAGTTCAGCCTGAATAAAAAACTTGAAGAAACCCTTGAAAAGTTTCAAAGGAGTTCAAACTTGCAAAAACGATGCAAGATATTCCCACGAGCTTCTAGGTTAAAGCCATAAATTTAGTCACGGGAAAATAGACCTGAATTTATAAACCTGCTACAATGAAAATATTTATGAAAGTATTGTATTAACAGTTATAAAAATGATGTCCATAATTTATTCATTTGAGAGTTCAAAAAATAAAACTTTCTCAAATTATTTCTCTTTTCGTATCTACTTCACGTTTCATATATTTGCACAAATATGAAGATGAGACGTCATCTCCATCAGTATCATTAATATAAAAGGGCCTTTTTAAATTAAAATTCATGTATATCGAAGTCACGGTCTGTTAAAGCATTTTAAGTGCAAGTGTAAGCTCAAATATTAAAAGGGCAGAAAGCATAATATGCGACAAAAGCAATAAAGATATTTATAACCCCAACGAACATGGGTGCTATTTATATCATAACCCCAAAAAAGACAGGGAAGGAAAAACCTTCCAAAAGTTGTCCAAAAAACACAAGGGAGTTCCAAACAAAAACCAACAAACAAACATTTTCAACAGAAAAAGTCTAGAAATGGGAAAAGCTAAGGAGCATCATCAACGGGAGAAGAAGGATCGACTTGGGGAGAAGAGAGTTGAACATCATCTTCACTAGGAGAAAGTCCATCTCCATCACCCTTAGAACTTTCGTCTTCGGTTGTGTAAAAGTTTTGATGTTGCTGAATCTGTTCAATTGTTTCTCTGGCCTTAGCAATCTCAGCATTAAGGTCAAAACCTTCCTGGCTAACTTCAGTTAAAGTTTTGAGGCGAGTGTTAAAAAAAGCCCAACTAACATCTAGTGATGACTTATCCTCGAGGGCTTCATAATCCTTCTCCCACTGTTTAATTTCAGCTTTCAATTCTTCTTTTTCTGCATCCGAGGCTTCATAAGTTGTCTGCAAAGAAGCAAGAGAACTTTCCAGGAACTGAATTTTACTTGTAGAGGCGCGGGGATCTTCTTGAGCTTGGGTAAGCGTCTGAACTAGTTCACCCGCGTAAACCTCTTTTTGATTAAGGAGCTCTTTCAAACTCCTTATCTCTTCAGTAGCCTTGGAAAGTTGTTTAGCAAAAGAGGATTCCAGTTTATCCTTATCCTTCTCAAATTAACTAGTAGAAGCTTTTAGAATCGCTAACTCTGCGGATACCATTCTCATTTATTTTTTCAAAGCTCATTTTTCCTCTGCAAGAACGTCCTTCTCCAACTGAAGACCTTCAAATTTCTCTCTCCAATTATCAGCCTCAGTGCGCAACTCAATTAGTTGTTGGTCAGTCCAAAAGATCCTTTTCATAAGCTTAGTGCCTATCAAAGTAATCTATAAAAAAAAAAAGCAAAAGAAGAAGAGTTACAAATGAGGAAAAGGAAGGAAGGAGATATAAGTAAAGTTATACCTTAAGAGAAGAATGAACAATGTCATTCATTAAAGTCAAGGAACGGTGACCCTCCAACTTCTTCTTTTCCACGGGTCCTAACAGCAGTTTTAACCATACTTTAGCTTGTACAAATTTTCTCAAAAAATTCTCACACTCGGGGACTTCAATAACAACTTTTTTCATATCCCGCCAGGTGATAAAAGGCTCAACTTCTACATGAGGAGCAGCAATGGGAGCAACCATTGGGGTAACACCAGGTAAAGACACATGTGGGCTAACAGTAGGTAAAACTGGAAGGGAAGCAAGTGGCAGTTCTTCAAAAACAGGCCTGAGGCCTTCTTCACCCTCAAAGCCATAGGCGAATAACCTTTCAACAGAACTTGGGAGGGGGTGGGGATTGGCTGAGTTACCAGCTTCTTCATCAGAAATTTCTAAAGGGGCATTCTCTGGCTCATCGATGAGTATGAAGGGAATCGAACTTGATGGGAATCATGAGAGACATTGGTTTCGTCATCTGAAATCACGCGTCTTCTGACACACGATTTTCTCCCCAAAGAACCTTCTTCTACATCCTTTTCATCATCAGACCCACGGGCTTCAATAGTTTTTCTCTTGGAGGAAGAAGCACTCAAAATCCGTTCTTGAGCATGACTTACAGAAAGCCTGATTGATGGAACAAATGTGGGACTGATGCCACGAATAGCAAACCCTAATTAAAAAAAAAAGGTTGATGAAAAATTTATATATGAACAAGTAAAGAAGGAAAGAAACTGCAAGAATGAAGAGTACCGTGAGTTTTCACTTTCCAACCAAATTTCTGTGAAAGAAATTTCCAAGATCTTTTGTTCATGGAAGTAGCAGTCAATATTTTTTCTACCCAAGTACGGAAGTCAGGAATTTCTTCAAAGACTTCCATGGTTGCTGAAAAAATGAATATGTGATTACATAAAGGAACTCAAGACATCAAAAAAAGAAAAAGAAAAAAAAACTTACGTGCAAAGTTCTATTTTTCTGGAAAAAGACATGTTTTCTTCACCCACTAATCCACTAGTGGGGGAAACAACAAAACGGGCGTACCAGCCATGATCACGGTCATCCTCGAAGCTAACTAAAACCATTTTGCTTCTAGCCACGAGAGAAAAGACCCCTCCACGAAACAGCTTAGGAGAGTAAAGATGAAGTAAGTGACTGAAGGTAAAAGGAGCAGAAACTAAATCCGACAAATAGCGAAGGCATGCCACTGCCCTCCACATAATGGGACCAATTTGGCCAAGTCAAACATTAAAATAGCAACAAAACTCGATGATCACTGGGTCAATGGGAGGTTTAAACCCTAAAGTGAAAGGGTAGGTATAAACGAAAGAAAATCCAGCATGGTAAGAAGTGATTCTTTGGTTGGTACCAGGAATTAAAACTGGGAAATCTGGTTTCCAATGACATTCTCGTCGAACTAAAGAAAGAAGACCAGGAGTGATCAAACTTGGGTAAAGTTCAGCAGGGTTAAGGGAAGCTATAGAAGAAACTTGATTTTTCATGGTTTCACGATCTGATACAAAAGAAAACTCTTGAGGAACAATCTCAGAAACCATAGGCTCACGTATGGGTTCATTCTGGTCCCTATTTTTAGAAGAATATATAGGGGTTAAAGGAGCTCTAGATCTAGAAGAAGATGGCCTCGCGGAACTACTTTGAGAAGTAGAACTGCGAGTAGATAACGAACCAAGACTGCGAAGTCTACCACCTCTCCTACTCCTAGTAGGGGCAATAGAAGGAGCAAGCTCATCAACGATCACAACTTTGCGAGGGTCTGGTATTGAAGAAGACATGTTTAACAAAGAAAATACAGAGGAAAGGTACAAAACTACGAAGGAAAGTTAGGATGATGGATACAGAGAAGAGGGAAGAAGGTTTCAAGAAATCAAAGGGGATAAAATATTTATAAGGAGAAGCGACTGCCATCAAAGTTGATCATTATGAAGTGTCATAATAGAACTGTCACTTCGTGACTGACGCAACCGTAGAAAAAACCCTAAAAAAATGCTGAGAAACTGCAGAATCAATCATCTGAAGCCACGTGGCATGAGCATTAAATGAATGTGACATACGTCGCATCGATTCTGAAGAGGGCATAATGATACTCGAGAAACGACGACAAAGAATTTCCGATATAAATACTTACCACTTCCCGAATATTCAGTTGAGAATATTCAGAAAGTGGGAGGACTATCTGTATTAGTGAAAAAAAGGTATGACACGTGGACTATCAACAAGGTGACAGGGCATGGTACGTGGACCATCGATATAGCGACAAGTGGTGTTCTTAATTAGAAGAGTTAATGCGGAAAAGGCACGGGAGAAAAACCCACGAGGTTATGCTGAGAAAAGAGCCGGATCTGACAGCTGTAAAACGAAAAACAAGAGCGGAATGAATAAAGGTTGTTAAAAAGGGAAGATTCACGAACTTGTCATAAATAAGGAAGGAAAATCGACACGGATACAAAAAATCTTTAGCCATAGATATTTTCGTTATAATTATATATGATAACAGGCAATCAAGGAAATTAATACCACTAGTGAGCCCAAATTAAAATTATGCCATCATTCTTTACTTTATTCTCAGAGTTATAAATCGTAATTTTGGGAGTGATTACCAATCTATTTCATATTTTCTTTGTCAATTATTTTCATTCCTTGATTTATTCTTCAAATTATTGGGAAAGTAAAGTAAATTTTAATTATTAGTAACTCGATATTTTTTAGATATTGATTTTGATCCAAAAATCTATTTTTGGGTTAAACAAATACTAAATATTTGTCGTACAATAGCTGCAAATTCAATTTCGTAACGGTGATTTGTCTTCTTCTTTTCCGGTTCTTTCATGTAAAACGAGTTTTTTACATTGTTAGTCTCTTATGTTTTTCCCCCATGTATAGTAATTTTCAAGTGAGGTTCCAGTCAATGACATCAATCAGACATTCCTGTCCTACACAAGAATTGAAGTATAAAAGCCCAAACTATACATACTAGAAAGCAGAGGATCAAACAGAATGCTTAGCCTTCCTTCAACAAAATAATCAAAACACCCTTTACTAATCTAACCACCGGTAGATGGAAACTGCTCTTTCAACCACACCTACATCATTTCTCAGAATCAATTGATTTTCTACACAACCCCCACTCCTCTTTCTCTCTCTCCTTGAGTGACAAAGGGGGAGAGAGAAGAATAGCTGATTTCTTTTGTAAATTCTTGAACTGAAAAATGCAATTGAAATCTGTCAACACATTTGCAATCACAATCATGTTTGGTTTTGCACTTATCATCCTATTTTTCTCTGGATTTCTTGATTTCCCACTTACCGCTTCTTCAATCCCATCAACTAAAAATCAAATCTTGACCACCTTCTCAGCTTCCAAGCCCGACCCGTTTAGCAACTTGTTCGGTGCTTTCAAGAAATGGGATTCTCAAGTGGGTTGTGCTCAATTCAGGGATAAACACAAAGGGTTGTTGTTAAATTCTTCTTCTTCTGGTTCTTTGCAAAAAGTTGATGAGGGTGAATTGAAATGTAATGAGCTGAAGATGGATCATGTGAGTGTATTAGTTAAAGGGTGGACTTGGATTCCTGATAATTTGGATAATTTGTACTCTTGTCGATGTGGGCTTAGCTGTTTGTGGACTAAATCCGAGGTTCTAGCTGATAAGCCTGATGCTTTGTTGTTTGAGACTGCTACTCCTCCTCTTGAGGTATTATTCTTAACCAATATTAGCTCTTTTATCTTAAGCATGAATGAGCAGTTTTTAGCTGTGGAAATCAATACTAATAATGCATCTGCATGAACCTATATTTTCTACTTCGTGGTAGTGCCTGATCGTTTGGATTTTGGTTCATTACTGTCTAAGCTTCTAAACACCTGCAATCTTTAGGAATCAGTGTTGGACTTAGCTCAAAACATGACAATGTGGAGGTAAATGATCATCTAGCTGGATGAGGCTAAGTTGTTGTGACACTTAAGTTCCGGTGTTTGTTAGGTACTTTTATTCTGGTTAGAGATTTGTATGTCCATGTAAAATAAATATGACATTTAGAGAAACTCTAGGGTTAGAAAACCTTCACTTCCTGTAAAAAAAAAAGTAAATTATTTAGTACTGGAATGACATGGGTTGTTGTTATTGCTTGTTTCTATTATTCTCTCATCTTCCTGAGCAGAGGGTCTATCGGAAACAACCTCTCTGCCTCCCAAGGGTATAGGGGTACGGTACAGACCACCCTCCCCAGACCCCACTGGGTTTGTTGTTGTTGTTGGAGTGACATGGGCTTGAATAGAGCAGAATGGAAATTGAAGACTCATATACTGAACCCCAACTAATTTGGGCTTGAGGCAGGCTCGAAAGATCTTCCTTCAACCTTGAAAGTATTCTGCTGCTTTAGTGTGAATGAAATCACTTCTCCAAATATAGATGAGTAAATGTCTAATATTCTAAGATTGATAAATATATTTGCCGTAGCTTAAAATCAGTCAAGGATTTGAACTTTGATGTTATCAGCATATGATTTCTTTATGCCTTGCTGGAGAGACCCATGGAATTACCTTTTTATGTCATCTTACATGTCACAATACAGAATGAGTGAAATGGACTGCGAATAATCATTTTCCTAGAGGATTGCAACTTGTATATTCCATCTACCTCGTTACCCTTTCTTATAAAGTTAGTGCATGATGAATTCAGGCATTCACATGTTTTGATCCGAATCTCATACCGTCTATTAAGCTGCTTAACAAGCTTCTAATTCAAGTATATTTAGAGTTCTCTTTTCCTTAGAATGTTTGAGGCGATATACTAAAAAATCAACAATATAAGTGCCATTAGATGCTGCAGACATCATCCGACCGATTTATTATGTGAAATAGATACACGTGAAATTACTGAGCATTTTGAATCATCTATTTCATGCTGCTGTTCTCTGTATATGTTTAGCTTCTTGTTAGTCTTAACGTTATGAGGTCTCTCCAACTAAAGTGGATTTGTCGATCTCCAGAAATGTAATCTTGAAGTCTCAATTCCTTTACTTTGCTAACTCTTTGCAAGTACTTTACATTAAATTTCTGATATTTGAAGCCAATCAATGGAGCTTGCAACTAGGAAACATTTATTTCCACGGAATGGAAAATGAAACCTCTTACCATTTATTTTCAGATAGACTAACCCACAGTCACTGATTACTTTCATCCATATGTCACAGACTATTGTTTTCTAATGGAGCCTCAAAGCAGTGTTGTTGACCAACCAATGGTTGTTTCACTTATTTTCTCCAGATATATGTTATTGATGTATGGAGAAAATGAGAAAAAAAAGTATCCTTTACTTATAATGGCAGCAGGACTATCCGACTTGCATTATGGATAAAATGAAGTGCTCTTAGTAAAAAGTACTTCGGACCCAATGATTTCTTAATTCTTACTAGTAGTTCATGATTCTATCTTAGTTTAAGACTTATTTTTGTATAAAGTGGTCAACTTTTTCCAATCAATTGTAGCAGGTAAACCCAAAAATATTGTCTGCTGTACCATATGTACTCTATGACATATCTAACTATTTGATTTCTTAGTGTTTTTGCGACCTCTTGTTTCAAGTAACCAATTAGTTAAAGTTTATATATACATTGATGTGAACTGAGCATGTATAATGCTCCTCTTAGACCTACTCTTCGCAAAATTAGAGTTTGGTGTAGACCAGTGTTGTAAATAGCTCTCCCCTCAGCGGTAATAGCGTGAGGCGATGCGATGCGAGCCTCCAGCGATATTTGCCTCTGTTGCGTTGCGATTCAAAAAGGTGAGCGCCTCTGCCTGTGTAGCGAGAGGCGACCTGTGGCGTCGCTTTTTGAAAAAAAGAAAGAAAAAGGCAGTAGAAAAAGAAAAAGACCAGCGATTAGGGCTTTCAGCTATTTCTTCTTCTTTCTCCTTCAAGTCGACCCAGCCACAGCAGACCATCAGTGATTGTTCTTTCTTCTTCAAGCTTCTTCATCAGGTATGCTTCTCTTCATCTTCTTTCTTCTTCCCCTTCGAGTTTCTGCCATTTTTTTTCTTTCTCCTTCCTTTCTTTCTTTCTTCCTTTTTCTTCTTCTTCTCTTCTTCTTTTATTTTTTGCTCTGTTGTTTTTGAAAGCAGCAGAGAGCTTTTTCTTTCTTTCATTCTTTCTTCCTTCCTTTTTCTTCTTCTCTTTTTTTTTTTTTTTGGTTCTGTTTTTTCAATTCCTTCACGGGCAGAGGCAGAGAACTTCAAACCTGAAATTTTCTCCTTAAATTTAATATTTTAATTTTTAGTATATATTGTCGCTTCACATCAAAAAGGTGAGCGCTTCGCTTCTCGCCTCAGTGAAGCGGGCCCTCATCGCTATTTTTCGCCTCACGCTATCCAAAACACTGGTGTAGACTATGTGTTTGTTGCTTTATTTTCACTGATCCTTGAGCCTAGGGTCTATCGGAAACAACCTAAGGTAGGGGTAAGGTCTGCGTACACACAGAGGCGGACCTAGGATTTGAGTATCACGGGGGCACCATTTTAAAAATAAAATAAAAAAATTAAGTTGTAGGACCCTAGATTCGAACCTGGGTCATCAAGAGAGTGTAGGTACTTAGCACTCCTGCAAACCAGTGCCTCTGTCCCGTTTTTTGTTCTTTTAGGGGGCCGCGTAAAATATTTAAGGGGTCATTACTGTATATATAGATATATATGAAAAATATATAATCTTTTTGCCGAGGTTAACGGGTTCCGGTGACCCCCCTCCCCCCAATGTAGGTCCACCCCTGCGTACACACTACCCTCCCCAGACCCCACTTATGGGATTACACTGGGTTTGTTGTTGTTGTTGTGTATGACTATAATGTTTTGGATCCTGCTTTCCTGCTTTATGTTCAGTTATATAGCTTCTTGAAGATTAGAAGTTATTTACGTTATGTTTGCTCTAATAGGGTGTTAGGATGTTAAATGCAAGGGTAGTTGTTAGCAGCTTGTTAGGACATGGAACATAGCTATTTGTTCTCATAGATGTTGATGTAACAGGTGGATAGATTGCAGCCATGTAACAGGATCTAAATAATACCCTTTGTTTTTGTTATGGTTTTGAAGTTCCTTAGTCAATCAGTAAATTTTCTATTCCTTATTTTCTTGTATCGTCTGCATATTCTCATTTCCTGGGTTTCATCATTTGGGAATTGCCTGTTGAATCTTTGCTTTCTTCTGACCATTATTATAGTATATTCTTCTTAAGTTTCTTTCTTAAAATGCTGATTTTGCTGAAAGATTAGTCTCTGTTGGAAAACACATTGTTGACTCTTATTACCCGAAATATATCTTAGAGCTGTTATTTCTGCATCAGTCTCTGGGCTATTCCATCACCCTCTTCTTTAAGCCTCTGCATCGAAAGGGAAGGGAGAATTATCCACCTTCTTTGCTGAGACCCCCACTGCAAATCTAAATTACGTTGAACTTTTGCTTTCTTGTTGCACACGCCACAAGCATCATTTTCTTCTCTGCAGTCTCCTCACAATTGTTATTTTCCTTTTCAGAGACGTCAAGGTGATCCATTGCGTGTATACATGGATCTTGAAGCTGGTAGAAAGAAATCAGGGTATGAGGATATATTTATTAGCTATCATGCAAAAGATGATGTCCAGTCAACCTATGCTGGTTCACTTTTTCATAATAATCGAAACTATCACCTTTCGCCTTCTAAGAACAATGTAAGTGAAAGGCCACTTTTTCCCTAAATTTGCATGTAGAATATTCAATCATTGAGCATGATGATATTACTTGCTCATTCTTTTAAGTGCTTGTTATAATCTCTAGCGATTTGTAAATTTGTAGGATACTCTTGTTTATTGGTCATCATCACGTTGTCTTCCTCAAAGAAACCAGCTTGCCAAACGTCTACTCAGCTTGCTACCTTCCCATTCATTTGGCAAGTGCCTCAATAATGTTGGAGGTCTAGACAAGGCGCTCTCCCTCTATCCTGAGTGCATCAAGGATTTTAAAGAAGCACCCAAATGGTGGGACCATTTACATTGCGCTATGTCACATTACAAGTTTGTCCTTGCGATTGAGAACACCAGGACAAAGAGTTATGTAACAGAAAAGTTGTTTTATGCACTGGACTCTGGCGCAGTCCCCATTTATTTTGGTGCCGCGAATGTCTGGGATTTTGTACCTCCACATTCAATAATTGATGGAAGCAAGTTTAGCTCTTTGGAGGAACTGGCTTCCTATGTTAAGGCCGTTGCTAATGATCCGGTAGCTTATGCAGAGTATCATGCATGGAGAAGATGTGGTGTGCTTGGAAACTATAGAAAGACCCGAGCAGCAAGTCTAGATACTTTGCCTTGCAGGTTATGTGAAGCCATCAGTAAAAGAAATGGGAGAAATGCAAGAGCTTCTTGATTATTCAACTACAAAAATACAGGGTACTAGGTTTTAAATTTCATTGTTGTGTACTTAGGTCTTTTAGTGTTGTTTCTCAACGGTGTTTGTGTTGATAGGATACACTAGGTAGGGTGACTTGTAAAGATCCCATGCCCTTACAGATTAATCATACATAAATTTTGGTTCAAACAAAATTGCATATTATATGTCAATTTCCACTAAGTTTCTCCTTGATTATGAACTCTGGCTCATTCATGATCCTAGAATTCTCGTCTCTAGATGTCAATAGTGTCAACTTTTTACTGCTGGTAAATTACGCATTTACGTTAATCATTAGCTGTCAAATTAGAGATAGAAACTGCGACACTGTCTTTATTGTTGCAGACTTGCAGCTCAATTAAATCCTTTTTCTTCTTCATAAATGGAAATGCATATCAAGACTCTAATGAATAAATTTTTAATGGCAGATTAAACCGAAACTACTTAAGTAAACTACTGCTGGATTACAATTTGGTTTTCTTTTTCTTTGGATTTTTTTTTGTTCTTGGGTTGGTTTGGGGGAGTTGGACAAAGAGGTGGATCATCTGATCTTGAAATAGGTCATCCCGGCTATCCCGATCTTTTATCTATTCATTTCGTCAGGAATCAGAATCATACTACGATTCTGAGGATTCTGCTTTTCACATTCATTCTACAGGCAAAACGAGGCCTTTGGGGGTGGGGGGTGCATTCGAATGCCATCCGCGAAGCAAGATACTGTTCTAATCTGCACAAAATAGAGGCTACGAAGCTTCTGTATAATCTATGTTTCATCGAGTTGCTCTTGCTTTCTCAAGTCGCAAGGTCCAGACACTAGCCTCGCCTTTACTCTTGGGATCAATACCAAACTCCATCAAATTCACTATCAGAAACTGATAGGGAAGTCGCTGTAAAAATCTCCTATCATATAAGATAGGCCATATGTTATCATACAGACATTGAACCAGACTATGGCCAATGAAGAAGCTCTTAAGAAACTCAGCACCAGAGACCACTGAATTCTCTTCTTTTTTTTCCTTTAAGCATCGGGTATCCGAAACCCAAGCTTAGATAAAGAGAAACCACCACATGAAAAAGGCTTTCATTGGTACAATTCCATGGAAACTCAACTAGTTATACAGTTATACAATACAAGGTACACAACATGTTCCTGAGATATATTCAAGGACAACTAGTGAACTGATAAGGTAGAGACCAAGTAAAAATCTCATTACTAAGCCGTTACTAAATACATACAGCATAAAACTCTTCTATGAAAATTTCTCAATGAGCAAAGAGAACTGACAACTAACCAAGGATTAACCAGGCAAAGAACATTTTTTCTGAGAATGTCCCAACATATGGCAGCGACCACATTGAACTACTCTCTTTGGACGCTTTAAACTTTCTATCCGAAGAACCTTCTTTTTGGGCCGGCCAGGTGGTCGTCGGGTTTTTGGTGGCCGAATTAGAATATCAACTTTTGCTCCTCCACCTTCTGTACCCTCACCAGTCTCTTTCCAAAGACTCCTATCAGGAATTGGATATATCATCTGTGAGTAGGTTTCACGATAACTGTGGACTGTGAAACAAGGCTCAGCAAATAACTGGGCATTCTGTCCACAAGAAATAAGTGCAGCAGCAGCATGTGCACACGGCACACCATAGAGTTGCCAACGGCGACATGAGCACACACGACTTCGTATGTCCACAATATTTGTCCTCTCAGTTGATACGATCTCAAATTCAATTTCATTTGCTCGTAGAACTTTATAGCAGCGAGCATCAGCAATTGCTTCTGAAATCCTCTTTTCAGCAGATGGAACGAGTATTGAGGCCAACCTCATGCCCATGTTACGGCGATCGTCAGACCATGATATCATCTGTTGGCGGATATGCTCCATCATCTGCACAATAGGAAGCTCGTGACACTCCAGTGCCCAATTATACAACACTTCCGTTATCCCCAAAGAAAAATGACCATATCGTAATCCTTCAAAATATGCAACAGCCCAGTGCTGTGGATTGAAATGATGAAACCATTGTAGGACATCTTGTGAAACCTCAACCATCTCGGAGACTTTGCTCTCAAATTCAGCTGCGGTAAGTGCATATACTGCATTCCAAAATATATTAACTAACTTTGAGTTCTTAAAAGTATCTCGAAAGTTCTCACTGATATAGCGTAGGCAAAAACCATGAAATGCATTTGGAAAATGAGTCTCGACTGCCTCAACCATACCCGCTGATCTCTCAGACAGTATAGTAAGTCTGGGCATACTGTCAGTATTTACACCCAGAAGTTTGCGGAGCTCAGACATAAACCACATCCAGTTCTCATCACTTTCCACATCGACAACAGCTATCGCCAAAGGAAACAACGTATCATTAGCATCAACGGCTGCAGCACAAAATAACATACCCAGGTACTTTCCTTTTAAATGCACTCTATCAAGTTCCAAAAGTGGCCGGCAAGCATTTAAAAATCCATAAATTGCTGCACGATATGAGACAAACAATCGCTGGAAACAATTTTCCTGTCCTGTGGCAACTGATGCAATGCTCCCTGGATTAGTCTTCCTTATCTGTTCACAATATGCAGGAAGAAGCTGGTAACCTTCTTCAAAGGTTCCATGTAGGGCAGCCATGCTGCGCTCCTTTCCTCGCCATGCTTGCATATAAGACACAGCAACCCCATGCTGACTTCGAATATCCTGCAAAATCTCCTTTGGTTTATACTGAGGGTTATCCCTCACCCGTGATTCCACTGATCTTGCAACCCAACCCACTGATGCTTGCTGATGGTGAAGGCTCTGAACCCCCTCACATGTATGCTCACCGTGAAGGGTCCTAATCGTAAATGTAGGAACTCCAGGACATTTTGCCACATGAACACGCCATGGACAACCTTCTTTGGAGCACTTAGCTATGAATCTACTCCTATCTGATTTCACTATTCGAATTTCAAAATGCAATGCTATAGCTATCTCTTTCAAAGTCCTTCTACAAGCATCAACATCCGGGAACTCTTGCCCAATTGCTAAAGGTTGGTCAATCAACACCCCATTTGAACCGGGTACTGCTGTAAACTGCTGACCATTTGAATCAGGTCCCAATCCTACTATCTCGTGAGCTGATTCCATTACATGATCCCCCATAACTCTACACACATCGAAATAGCTTCAACCTCGTTGCTAAACCCCTCAACTATGATCACTCATTTTTCTTTGAAGTTGCCAAATTTTCCAAATGTGCTATTGGAAATCCAATTTCAAATATCTACCAATTGACACAGGAAAAATGATCAATTGCTCATCACTCAAAAACTCAATAACAAGAAAACACAACAAGCAAAAATCATTTCAAATTCTATTTTTTGTAATGACGGTGGTGTTTAAGCCAGCTTGCCCACACCTCGATTATTCCATTGGGTACCTGGTAACTCCCATTAGCATAGATACCGAGTAACTCTACCAACCAAGTTTTAGGCACATGGGAAGAAATCACCTAGTAACGTCAATTCAAATTCTAATACTTGCATATACCCTAGTCATCTCTGCAAAAGTATACATTTCTAAAACTACATAGCCATCGACAAATAACAGAATGTAGCTTAAGAAAGCTAAAATTAGCTCCAAAGTGACAGTTCATCATGAGTTTAAACAATGTTGATTGGTCATCAACATAGGGTCAAACTCGAAGAATATCACATACCCAGAAATAAAACCTTTAATATGCATTCTGCTTCATTCAAATACAGAGTAACACAAACAAGAACAAATTAAAAACCCAAGAAAACTAAAAGGGGTTTTATCTTTACCTGAAATATGCTGCTGCAATTATTCAGTTGTTGAAGAGATCTAATTAGGACCCAAAAATGGCCATAATTAATAGCTGAGCTACAATAATATAGATATGTAAATTATATAAGTTGCTACCCAGAAGATGCAGAGAGAAGATGAAGAACGAGAGGAACAGTGTATGGGCGTAAATTTGATGAATTTCGAGGGCAATTGGAAAACCCTAATGTTGAAACTGTAATTTTTCTCAAATCGGCAAAAGAGATAAAGAGAGAGGGCCAATTGGGGAATTAGTGGATAGGGATATGTGCCGTAGAAACAACGTTAATGATATGACAATTATACCCTTAGATTTGTTAGTATTTGTCCAGTGTTTGAGAGGGCTAAGACTGTAAATAGACGTAAAGGATTGTGGAAATGGAAATTACAAACTTGAAAATCAGTTTAAAGTTTGAACTGCGCTTCGCCAATCAAAATACTACTTTAGTTTTTCTTATTAATTAAAATACAATTTCTTAATATTAAGATTGCTGATAACTAGGATGTACTATCTTCTTCTTTTTTGTATTTTGGTTTAATCGTAATATTTTACACTATCATAAGTATATAATTCAGTATCGACCAACGACTTATAAGGTTAATTGTTACTTTCACTACAGTTGAAAAATAAAGCCTACTATCGAAAGCGGTAAAAAAACAAATAGAATTTGCTTACAAGCTAGATAACAAGGTATTCCTGTGTAAATAATTCATTTCAAAACCCCTAATTCAGAATATAGAGTGAGGAGATGGAGCTTTCATTTGTAGGTAAAATTCTCCGCAATAAAAGTAAAGCTTTAAAATGAAGGATGTGGTCGTGAGAATAATGAAATCAACATAAATTATAAGATAGTCTTTATACATTTTGATAGCATTTTCAAAATACTGATTTAAATTATTTTTTTATTTTTCAAAATTGATTAACATCCTAAATTAGACTAAGAAATTTATTCAGTAACCTCCATGAACTTCACATGAGTAGTAAATTAATTCAGATAAAAGGATCGATCAATAAAACCTATCCAATCGTGAAATTTTAAAATCATGAGTTGGGCGGATCAACAACTGCTAGTACTTCTTTTTTTTTAACAACTGCTATTACTTCTTTATTATGTTTTAATCTTAAGATTAGCGGTAAGCCAGTAACTATAATATTTGGTTTACTTTTTAAATCTACAATTTTCGATTTACTAAATGAATGTTCAAAACTATATTACAAGTCGATTCAGTAGACCCTCATAAGCTATAATGGTCGATCAATTTGAATAATGTAATTCCTCAATTGAATAATTGAACTTAGAAAATGATAGTAAACGAGAAACATGGTACAAATGTAAATGTTATTAATTAGACTCGCATATTGATCCTTGTACACTTTTTCAGT